CGCCCCTCCTGCCAGGCCAGTGAAACCTGAGCAGTTCTCTCCTTCCCAGAAGGAATGTTCCTTAGGAGTGGCACAGTTCTTCCTGGAGCAGCCCTGGGGGGGCTACTCAATTAATTTGCCTCTGACATGTTTCCAACCCTTACACCATCACCTACGTTCCCCATTACATCTCCCATCTTTGGTGATTGGCCATCCTTTCCAGCCTCAAAGCATAACTCCTCCAACTTGGTTGCAAGATAGTCCCTTGTTACATCTGGAGGTCAGAGATCCTGTCATATCCACTTTGAGGTCCCTGGAACTCAGCAGGCTCAGTTGTGCTTGAACAGATTCACGGGCCGGAATGAATGACCCCTCATCTTTACCAACTCCTTCTCTCCAGGGATTCTGAAAGGCTGTCTCTGTTCCTTACCTTCTCCCAGGCTTCTCTCTACCCCAGGAGCACTCACTTTGGGAGCTCCCAGATAGCCTACCACCCCCTCCCCCTCTCCCCTCTCCCCTCGGAAGTCCTCCCAAGGCCAGAGAACCTGCAACTTCTCCAATCACAATGGGCAAAATCCTCCTGCTGGCCTATCTAATCCATGCTGAGGTTTGCTCACTCTGTCTCCAGGCAGGAACAGACTGTGGCCATGAGAGTGTGCAGGCCTTCTCTGGGGGGAGGGGGAAGGGGGCTGAGCAGTGACGGGGGTAACCCGAAGCCACACATGTGGTTTGTTCAATGCAGACCGCTGTCTCTGGCTGCTCCTTTCCTGCCTGCCTCAGTGTTCCCTCGACCCGGAGCCTTCTATTGGTTCACATAACTTACTTAGATCCTCAGGTGTGACTCACAGCTCCCTCACACTGAGATTGGGAGCTCCTTTTGGATAATTCACTCATGCTCTCATAGGACCTAGCACGGTGCAATGCCCCCCAAATGCTTGGTGACTGAGAACTTCGGCTCAGTCCGATTTGCCCTGTGATAGGGCCCCGGCTTAGATCCAGCCCCAATGAAGAAAGAGGGGGGAGTCTCAAGTCAAATTAATACTTGAGCAAGGCGGGAGTTAGGTTCTCTCTAGTTGGTTTATGCCCTCTAGGAAAGGCCAGTAGAAGCCTGTCCAACAGAAGTCAGAGTCTAGAGTGAGCCTCCTTACCGAGGAGGCTGCCCTTGCAAGAAGCCTGGGCTCAGAGGTGTGAGGAAGCTTGGATATCTTCAGGTGCAGGCGGAGCAGGATGGCTTCCTGGGGACGTGGGAAAAACTAGCTGTGGCCCAATTCCTTGGGAACCCTGGTTCAGCTCTGGGGCTTGGTGGAAGTCGTTTCCCTTACTCCCTACCCCCCTGCCACCCTCAAGAGAGAGCTCACATTCAGAAAGGGAAGGCCAAGCAGGGAAGGTGCCCAACTGCCATAGAGCTGAATGGGGACACAGTATGGCATCTGGGGCGGGTGGGGGTGGGGTGGGGACACCAATTTGAATAAAAAAAATGTCTCCCACTTTGCAACACAAGACCAAATGATTAGCACCCGGGGAAAAACATGAGCCAGCGGTTTGCAACAAAGCTGGCGGGCGCCTGGAATGTTGATCCTGAGGATCCTGTTCCAGAGGGGAGACACCCCTCCCTGGGCCCGGCTGGTGCTCAGTGCGGCTATTTCAGGCTGGGGGGATTAAGGTTGAACCATGACGAATGTGAACCATTGTGTGTGTGTGCGCGCGCGTGCACACACACCCCCCCACGGGCACACCCCCGACACACACACACACACACACACACATGCCCCAGACACTCTTTTTCTCTCTTCTCTCCCATACTGGCCCCCATGCCCTGATCCCCAGGCCAGCCTCCTGCACCCAAAGTCTCTTGGCAGCTGAGGCCTCTCCTTCCCCAGGAAGGCCCAGCCAGCCCCGCACCCCCCAGCTCAGGGAGAGTGACAGGAGCCTGCCCTGGGAATGTGGACAGCACGTGGTGTGTCCTACGCACCCTCCCTCCTCCACACACCTGGCTTCGCACTGACCCGGAACCTGCCCAGCCTGTCCCTTCATCCCCCAGCCCTCAGCTGCTGCCATTCCTTGTCTCTCTCTTTTCCACCTGGGGTCTTCTCAGCCTCACTTCCCTTCCCTCTGCGGCCCTTCTCCTCCAGACCTTCATCCTTCCTCTGCCTCCCTCGAGTTGTCTTTCTTTGCTTTATCTTTCTTCTGATTTCTCCTTCCCTCCTTTGGCTTCCTCTGGCCTCCCTTGATCTGTGTCCATCTGTCTCCTTGTCTTACTTCTTTACACAGATATTTACTGGCCGTCCACGCATCAGACCTTGGGTTAGCCTCCACCAGGCATGGGTTATAATTGTATATAAAATACTGTCTGTACTCAAAACACGTCTGTTATCTAGGAGAAGAGAATAACACTTATACCAGCGACTCTGAGATAAAGTGACATAGGATATTTATATATAAGTGGCCCCCAGTGTTCCAGCACTTAGTTGGGAGAAAGAAAAGGCCTTTCTGGATGGGGCTTCAGAGAGGCCTCCAGGGGAGAGCAGCCTTGTTACTGTCCTTGGGAAGAGGCCGGGTTTGGTCCTGCAGAGCTGTGAAAGTGTCATCCGAGCAGACAGGCATGGGAGAATGTGGACCTGGGAGCACCTTGACTATCAGGCGAAAGGATGAGAAAACTCGGAGGACAATCAGAGCTTTTGAACAGGAGAAGGACATGAACAGAGTCTTAGGACCATAAGTCCAGCAGCAGAAGCTGAAGAGGCATGTGTAGGTGTGTTTGTGTTTGTGGTGTGCGTGTGTGTGTGTGCGTGTGTGCATGTGTGTGTGTGTGTGTGTGTGTGTGTGTGTGTAGGGCTGAGGGCTAGCCAGAGAGGACAGGCATGGCAGGTTAGGAATCCATGGCAGGAGCGTGTGTCTGATTATCTCATTTACCCACTGAAGTCTGAACCTAGTAGGTGGCGGCAAGGCAGAGGCAATGAAAGGGACAAGTTTGAGAAATTCCAAATAGGAACACCTTGCCAAGTGTCTTGTCTTCTTTTTCGAGCTTGTCTTTGTTTTTGCCCGATCGTCTGAGTTCCTCTTTCTAAGCAGATCAGAAGCCTTTCTGCGGTGGCCACCCCAGGGCCAGCTTGGCTGTCAGGCAGAGATCTGATATTTACAATGACGGGAATCAAAGTTCTCTCCTCTTTCCTCAAAGCTCAGAGGCCCCGAAGGCTGGGATCTCCCAGGAGGACTGACTTTTGCAGGCAGCGACTCCACGCCCTGGCTCACCCAGAGCCCGTGTTATCCTTCTCTGCCAACCCCGCGTCCCCAGTGGCCCTGCCTGCAGCAGACTGCCTTGTCTGCCCCAGGACCCCAACCTGGAGGGGGCCGCTGTGGCTGCTAAGCCCTCTGGCCCTCCACTCCTCCCCCACTACCCTGGTACAGCTCCAGTGTCAGCCCTCGAGGTAGACTTGGAGAGCCCAGGAGGGGAAATCCAGAGCCTCTCCAAGGACCTGATTATTTCCAAAGACTTGTGCTAATTTTCTGATATGATCCTCACATCTCTGTGAGGCACTAAATCCTCATTACTTTTCCTGACCGATGCATTCTAATTAGATCAACACTTAAAAAAAATTCACAATAGCCACAGGATGGCTTTCCATCTCATTAACTCCTCACTTATTATTTTCATGAAAATTACTGATAAAAATGTGCATCTCCATTTGCTGAGGCCTCACAGCCTCCTCAGCTCCTATCTTGCATCTCTCCCGTCACCGGGCTGCACAGCGTCGCCATGGTAACCCACAATAATAGAAACTAATAAATTACAAACGAGATGCTCGTTGAGCAATTATTGTCCTCTTTTATGCAAGTTTCTTGCTAATTTTGATCATAAGGGAAAGTACAATAAGACTCTGAAGGAATGAGTCTATTTCAAGAGTATTAGCAAGCAGAAGCCTGGGCGGCTGTTTTTAGATCTGTAATAAAGTGAGTTGGTGATTTCAAGCAATGGGAAGAGGAAATAAACTTCTTGCCTCATGTCCCATGCAGTACTCACTGTTGAGTCCCAAAGAGATCCCTTTGGATTTGTGCAAGGTGGGGCTGGCCTTCTAGAAGGCCCCCTGACCCTTCCCCTGCCTCTACAACCTGGAGGGATGGATGAAGTGTGCTGGTCCCTAAAGCTTAGAGATAAAAATGGCATCACCTTTCTTAGGCACTTTTTCCAGCACCCATCATTCTTAGAAAGTTTATCCTTTTCCCCAAGCCTGATTGTCTCATGAGAAGAGGTTACTGTAAGCCTCCTGGGGCCCTCCCTGTGTCTGTCCCAGACTCAGGAACTCAGTGGGAGGGAAGAAAGTGGTGAGCTGTGGCTTATGTAGATGTCGGTGAGCTTGATGGAAAGGTATCACCAGGCAGCTTTCTAAATAGCTCCGTAGGGTTTGGGGAAAATATTCCGCCCTGGAGACAACAGCCCATTCTCATCCAGAACACATAGTTGCCATTTCTACGTTCCCCAGTTCCCCGGATGAAGGTGGGGGTGACTCTTGGGAGGAGGGTGACTGGAGGTGACATCCACAGTGGCCCTGAACCTTAGGAAGGCAGATGAGCCAGGGTAGGGTGAGCAACTGGAAGAAACTGATGCGGGAGAAGCAGTCGCATGGGAAGCTGTCCTCATCTATGAGGTGGGCAGGATTCAGGGAAGGACCAAACCCTCCTTCTCAAGAACACAGAGAGCTCAGCAAGCCCTCTCGAGAAGTGTTCGGGGCTAAGAGGTCGGGGTCCATTCCCGGCTCTGCCCCTGCCTCATCTCAACACTTACGTGCATATCTTAGGATATCTTGGGCCAGGAAGCCAGGAATCACTTTGGTCATTTTCTAAGGAATAGCCATGCCCCAGTATGGTGAGTTCTGGTGCTGCCTGATGAACAGGAGTGGATCAGAGGAGGGCCCTCATGCTAAAAGTATACAGTGAGTCTAAGCTACTTTCCTAGGCCACCAGGGGACCCTCAGACATTCCTACACCTGGCTTAGGAGATAGGACCCAGCCTTGTGTGTTACCTGTGAGTGAAGATTTATGGAGGGCTGATTGGGGGAGTAGGGTCCCCCGAGGTCATTCCTGAGCAAGTTATCGCTGTGCATCTTGGTTTTGAGGCAGGTGATGTACCGGTTACAAAAGTCCTTGCAGAGTTCATTGACTTTCTCCAATTCCAGCAGGTGAATTCTCAGGACCTGGATTGCCTTCACCATCTGAGGAGAGGAAGGGGAGGTGAGCCCAGGTGTTCGTATCACACTCCTCCTGCCACCTTGACCTCCTAAGCCCCAAGCCCACCGGGGGGAGAAGCCCATGCCCTGCCTTAGGCATAAGCTTTCTCATCCACTGGATTTAAATTTAAATCCTATTATTTCATATGTATCCTCCTTAAATTCTAGTTATGGTTTGCATGCTTTTAGCCCACTGTTAACACAACCACTCTAGAGTAAATGGTATTTGGAGAACCATCGAGCTAAAAGCCAGGTCTCTGGCCCTGACCCTGCCAGTCTTATCTGGGGGACATCGGGCAACTGGTCTGCATCTTGTTGTCAGAAAAGTGGGGATAATTATGCTCTCCTTAACAACCTTCTAGGTTTGTGGAAAGGATTGTAGAGGTAACGTAGAAGCTGCAAAGTGTGGAGCACTGAGCAGACACGAGGAAGACGGAGATCGGAGCTCTTGTGGGCGCCTCCAGAAGTCAGGGACTGTCTACGTTCTTAAGCATGTATTCTGAGGGCAGGTCACCTTGCAGATGCCCCATTGATACTTGCTGACTGACGGGATCATCCCGCATGACTTAGCTGGGCTCTGAACACCGAGCTGTCCTGTGCCCTTTGGATTGTTGGACGTGACTGTCCCTCTTCAGATGGACACTCCCCACCCTTCATGGCAAGAGGCTAGTTCTCAATTGGAGCTTTTCTCTTTATCATGGTTATTATTAGAACAAGACAATTGCTACCGGCGGTTTGGAAGTCAAGGAGGAAAATAAATGCCCTTGACCCAATCATCTTAAAAGAACGATGATTTTTTTTTTTGTCTTTTCCACAGGCATCTATTTTAACATTGCTTTAGTCACTTTGTGCTTACAACTTTGTTTCCTGTTTTCCCCTTAGTTTACCAAATGTATTTTTCTATACAGTAGCACCATCTTCTCTATTGTCACTTCCAGCCTGCGAGCTTCTAGAAGAGAGAGAGGGTGTCTGATTTGCTCACCATGTTATCCTTGGCACCAACACTCTGGGCACTGAATAAATATTTGTTGAATGGGTAAAAATTATTCAGTAAATATATTTTTAATTGTTGCCTATTATTTCATGTGTGTCCTCCTTAACCAATCCCTCATTGTTGGGCATTTAGGCTATTTCTAATTTTTCAATTTTATAAAAAATGTTACAGTGACTGTTTTCCAAGCTTCCTGCTTTGAGTCATGTGTCTGCATTATTTCCTCAGGGTGCATTCCCAGAAGTGACAGGAGAAAAAGCTATGGACATTCTTTTGGCTCATGATAAATACTGCCAAATTGCTTTTCAAAAAAGGTTGTTCAAATGATGCTGGAGCACTCAGACATCCACAAGGAAAAAAAGCAAACCTTGCTTTAAGTCTTATATAAAAATTAACTCAATTGGACCAAAGACCTAAATGTAAGATATAAAACTATAAAACTTTTAGAACAAAAATGCAGGAGAAAATCACGAGTTCCTAAGAGTGGGCAAAGAGGTCCACACAAGCTTGACTCAGAAAAGGAAAAACTGATAAATTAGAACTCATCAATATTTAAAATGTTTGCTCTTCAGAAGAACCTGTGAAAAAGATGAGAAGGCAAACTATAGACTGGAAGTAAATACTTGCAAACCATATATCTGACAAAGGAATTCTTTCTAGAATATATAAAGAGCTCTCAGAACTAAACAGTAAAATAGCAAGCAATCCAATTAGAACAGGGGAAAAAGACAACATCGGACATTTCACTGAAGAAGATACACAGATGGCAAGTAAGCACATGAGAAGATACTCATTTTCCTTAGCCACCAGGGAAATGCAAATTAAAACCACAACTAGATATCACTTACACATCTATCAGAATGGTTAAAATGAAAAATAGTGATAACACATCACTCGTACATTACTGGGGGATATGAAAAATTGTTCACCCACTCTGGAAAACAGTATAACAGGTTTTTTTAAAGCAAAACTACATAATTGCTTACCATACACCCTGCAATTGTACTCTTGGGCATTTATCCCAGGGAAATAAAATATATGTTCACACAAAAACAGTATGTGAATGTTCAAAGCAGCCTTATTTCTAACAGCCCCAAACCGGAAACAACCAAAATATACTTCACCAGGTGAGTGGGTAAAGACACTGTGGTACGTCCATGTCATGGACGACTACTTAGCAACAAAAAGGAACAAACTGTTGATACACTCAACAACTTGGATGGATTTCAAAGGAATAATTATGCTGAGGAAAAAAAAGCCAATCTCAAAAGGTTACATACTGTATGATGCCATTTATCTAACATTCTTGAAATGACAACATTATGGAGATGAAGAACAGATTGGTGGTGGCCCAGGGGTGCAGAGGGAGGAACTGTTCTGTCTCTCAACTGTCAGAGTTTACATGAATCTATATCTGTGATAAAATGGCACAAAACTAAACACACACACGAGTGCATGTAAAATGGCGTCATCTGAGTAAGATTGGTGGATTGCATCATTGTCGATTTCCTGGTTGTGAAACTGTATGCATTATGCAAGAGGGGAATCAGAACTCCTTTGTATTAGTTCCTAGAACTCTGTGTGAATCTATAATTACATTGAAATGAAAAAAAAAAGAAAAGGTAGGGCTTGTTGCCCTTTGAGACCCACTGATGTCGACATCAGCAGTATACAGGGTCCCTGTTTAATCCTACCCTCCTAACTGCTGGCTAGCATCTTGATGCCTAGGAAACAAGGCAGGGAATCTCTCCCAGAGAATTCTGACAGTTGGGCATGAGCAGAGCGGTGTGGCTGGACACCAGTGCCATGCTCCTCTCTGAGCTTCACTGGCATTTCTAGTGGGGAACGATTGAGTAGTCCCTGGGTTAGCTTTTGGATTGCCTGATGGGCAGGAACAGTGCTTAACTAATTAAGGACTCTTGGAATACTGACACTAAGTGTCACTCAAAGATAGAGATGAACAATTTTGTGTCTTCATGCAGGGCTCAATCCAAGGGTCTTATCCTAAGGGAGTGCTCCTTCCATGGGGCTGAGACCAAAAGAGACTGTGCTCTACCAGGCAAAGAAGAGAATTGTGACTTTAGAATGGTTTATTTGGTACTGAAGGAACATTTGCTCTCAATTTTCTACTTGACTTTGGTCATGGATATCTTGGTTTCTGTCTTTCAGAATAATCAGCACCATACAAAGCATTTAATAAATGCTCACTGATTGCTTGATAACAATCCCCAAACATGTCTTATTCTTACTATGTCTCAGGCACTGTGTTAAACTTTCCACATGCCTTACCTTATTTATACCCCACAACCACCTCTGCAAGGAGGCACCATGATTGCCCATATTTTACAGTTGAAGAAAATGAAGCCCAGAGATATTAAGTTTCACTTGTTTAGAGTCACATGGCTGACAAGCGATAACACTAGGCTATGAAGCCCCATGGCCTATGTTGTTCCCAAGACAGGCTCTTGAGATTTGTGTAGATGGAGAAAAGCAGTTTGAAGGGTGCATGATTTGGGGGGGGGCGTGGCTCAGTGATGGGAAGCATAGGGTTCTAGGAAGACCAAATAGCTTTGGGGACATTAAAGTTTAGGATTTCCAGAGCCCTCCCTGGTAACCTTCTCTCATTCGGCTGCTCTGGTTTCTCATCTCTCATTCCTGGCCTCGCCCACAGGAGTCAGAATACCTCGCCAATGTAGGTGTCTGCCTCCTCCGGGGTAAAAGGAGAGGATTGGACTGTCAGGTGCTTTCCATTTTCTGATTCCCTGAATGTTATCAGGACTTGTGCCCTCGGTTCACTGAGGGGCCTGGGAGGGGCCCTGGGAGATGATCTGGGCTGGCATCTAGGTGAGTGGATGGTCCAAACTCTCTTAAGATACATGGCTGCTCTCTTCTGAGGCTCTCCCAGCCAGAACCTTCACTTCAGACTGTCTCTATTTCTCTCAGCCTGCTGATGGAGAAGTTCTTCCTTATATGTACAAAATCTCTCCTTCCTGAATATGAAGCGCTTACCCAGCCTTCTGCAGGCACCAAGAACACCTAGTGCCTCCATCAATATAACCTCCCTTAATTTGTTGTTATCCATTCAACACAAATATGGAGTCTCACTCTATGCCATACATGGGACAAGGCATCTGACTTGAATAAATTATCCAACTGGCTTTGTCTCCTCCAGACAAAACATCCTAATTCCTTAAACCTTTTCCTTTTCCCTTTCTGCCTCCCTCCCTCCCTCCCTCCCTTCCTTCTTTCCTCCCTTTCTTATTTCTTTCCTTCCTTCCTTCTTTCCACCCTGTCTCCCTCTCTCCCTCCCTCCCTTTCTTCCTTCCTTCCTTCCACCCTCTTATTTCTTTCCTTCCTTCCTTCCACCCTGTCTACCTCTCTCCCTCCCTTTCTTCCTTCCTTCCTTCCACCCTCTCTCCCTCCCTCCCTTCCTTCCTTCCCTTCTTCCATTTCTTCTTTCCTTTGGTCTCTGAGCTTTCCTTTACTGTACCATTCTTCTTTTTTAATCAAAATTTCATTTACTCATTTGGTTAATTTAAATCTACATACATGCATCCACCACACAGAAAGGTGTATATATCTATTCATTTATTTTAAAAACATAGCCAATAAATACTTATTATTAAAAAAGAACCAGAAAGTACAAACAGAGAAGATAAAATACAAAGTAAAATCTACTCAGAATGGTTTTGTTCAAATAAAATACACAGGGAGCTTACACCAGATCTGGTGCCCAGTGGCCAAAAGTGGACCTACTTTTTGGTCTAACAAAGCACAGTTGAAGGATGACTTTTGTATGGGATAATAGGCTTGGTTTAAAGATTTAAGAAGGTAGAGTAAATCATAATGGTATTCCGAGGCAATGAATATGGAGGACCTATTCAATATTACAGAAAGAGATGGGCCGTACCATTAGTGGGGGTGGCTATTAGGCAGAGTAGCAAGTCTGTGAGGGATGTTGTCAGACAACCTGAATCCAGGCCTACTGTTTACA